AAACTTAAGGAAGTAAAAGACCTTTACCCAGAAAACTACAGGATGTTGAAAACAAGAGAGAGAGGAAGACATAAACAAATGGAAGAATATACCATGTTCATGAATTGGTAGAATCAACATCATTAAAATGTCTATACTACCCAAAGCAATCTATAAATTCAATGCAATCCCCATTAAAATGCCAACGGCATACTTCAAAGACATAGAATGAACTCTCCAAAAATTCATCTGGAATAAAAAAAGACCCCAAAAAGCTGCAGCAATCTTGAGAAAAAAGAACAATGTTGGAGGGATCATAATACCAGATATCAAACTATACTACAAAGCCACTGTTCTCAAAACTGCCTGGTATTGGCACAAGAAAAGACCTATAAACCAGTGGAAAAGAACAGATAACCCAGAAATCAACCCAAGCCATTATGCTCCAATTAATATTTGACAAAGGATGGAATGTTCTAAAGATGTCATATAGTCCATCTGTTCTAGTGAGTAGCTTAGGATTACTGTTTCTTCCCTAATTTTTTGTCCAGAGGACTTATCCAGTGATGTTAATGGGGTATTAAAGTTTCCTACTATGACAGTATTGTTGTCAATCTCTCCCCTGATACCTTCCAGAAGTTTTTTTTATGTATTTGGGTGCTCCAGCATTGGGTGCATATATGTTTACCAGAGTTATATTCTCTTGTTGTATTGATCCCTTTAGAATTATGAAGTGGCCTTCCTTGTCTCTTGTTATCGTCTCCACTTTGAGGTCTATCTTGTCAGATATAAGTATTGCTACCCCAGCTTTTTTTTTTCATTTCCATTTGCCTGATAAATATTTTTCCATCCTTTCACTTTCAGTCTGTGTAAGTCCCTTGTTCTGAGGTGGGTCTTCTGTAGACAGCATATATATGGGTCATATTTTCTTATCCATCAGTCCGTCGATGTCTTTAGATTGGAGCATTTAGTCTATTTATGTTTAATGTTATTATTGACAGGTACTTGCTTGTAGCCATTTCTGTACTTTATGCCTGTGTTCCTCCTCCATTTCTATTTCTTCTTTTTACAGCATTCCTTTTAGCATTTCTTGCATTGCTGGCTTGGTAGTGATAAACTCTGTTAGCATTTTTTTTGTCTGAGAAGCTCCTGATTTCCCCTTCAATTTTGATTGATAGTCTTGCTGGATAGAGTATTCTTGGATTCAGTCATTTGCTTTGCATCACTTTGTATACTTCATTCTTTTTCTCTTCTAGCTTGGTGTGTTTCTGTTGAGAAATCATTAGATAATCTGATGGGGGATCCTTTGTAGGTAACTCTCCATCTCTCTCTTGCAGCCTTTAAGATTCTTTGTCGTGAACATTTGCTATTGTAATTATGATGTTTCTTGGTGTGGGTCTTTTGGGATTCATCTTGCTTCAGACTCTGTACTAGAGTGACTTTTTCCTTTCCCATATCAGGGAAGTTTTCTGTCATTATTTCTTCAAATAGATTCTCTAATCCAGTGGTTCTCAACCTTCCTAATGCCGTGGCCCTTTAATATAGTTCCTCATGTTGTGGTGACCCCCAACCATAAAATTATTTTTGTTGCTACTTCATAACTGTAATTTTGCTACTGTTATGAATCGTAATGTAAATATCTGATATACAGGATGTATTTAGGCGACCCCTGTGAAAAGGTCGTTCGACCCCCAGGTTGAGAACCGCTGCTCTAATCTGGAACCCCTATTATGCATACTAGTATGTTACCTTGTTTCGTGTTGTCCCAAAGCTCCCTTAGGCTCTCCTCCTGCTTTTTTAATTTTTTTTTCTCTAGTTGCTGTTCAGATTGGGCTTGTTTCTATATCTTATCTTCTAACTCAGTAATTCGGTCCTTTGCTTCTTCTAGTCTACTGTTGAAACCTTCCATAGCGTTTTTGATTGTAGCTATATCATTTTTTATTTCTTCCTGAATTTTTGCACAGGTTGTTGATTTTCTCATCCATATGGTTTATGAACTGTATGACCATTATTCTGAATTCTTTCTGTCATACTGCATGCCTCTGTTTCACTTATTTCCTTTCTTGGCGATACCGTCTTTTATTTCCTCTGGGGATTGTTTTGTTGTCTCCCCATTCTAACTATCACTAGAAGGTCCAAAAGGCAAGTTGCGGGGGCCTGAACCGTGTGCACTGGGAGCATCGCACCACCCAAGTGTCACTGGAGAGCTCTGACACCAAGGCGTGTGGCTGCCGTGGGTCGGTGGGAGCCATGCACGCTGAGAATCAGTCATCAGTGCTCAGTGCTGCCTCTCATGTGGAGAATCAGGGTGCCCGGTCTACTTGGAGAGCCGGGTTGCACAGCCACTCTGTGTCAGGGGGAGGCCCACTCCTGCGCCGTGGGAACCAGACTCCTGTATGAGGGCCCAGAGTTGAAATCAGGTAGCGGAGCGCCCTGTTTTGGAGGGAGGCCCACTCCTGCGCCATGGGAAACAGAATCCCATGTGTGTGCAAGTCCAGAGTCAAAGTTAATTTGCACAGTCGCCCTGTGTTGGCAGGAGGACTGCTCGCACAGAGTGGGTCTGGCAGGTCCTATGCCACCGCAGCGGGCCGTCGGGGAGGGAGATGGGCTCTGTGACTCACAGAAATCTGCAGCTGGGATGTCTGGACTCTTGGTGTCCATGGGTCTGCATTTGTGGTGGCAGGTCTTTGTCCCGAGTGGTTGTAAGATCCTGGATTGCGTCTGAGACCAGATTGGGTAGTGGTGAGGCTGGAATCCAAGTCACAAGTAGTCCTGTTCTTCAAGATGGCATGCTCTCTGTGCCCACCCCAGAGTATCCATGGTGGCAGTGGGGTTATGCAACCCAAGACAGCCCAGTCTGGCAGCCCCCTGGAAGACCCACAGTATCTAACTATCCCTAGCTCTCTCTCTCTCTCTCTCTCTCACACACACACACACACCACACTCCTCTATCGCTCCCTCACTCACTCACACATTCTCTCTCCCTGCCTTCTTGCCGGTCGCTATCTTTTTTCCAGTGCCAGTGAATATTTAATTATTTATTGGATGATCCTGTTAAAAGCGTTGCTCAGAAGAAAAAAAAAGAAAAAGAGTGTTGCTCAGGCATATCAAACTAGACCCGTGCCAATTTAACATCTTTTTCCATTACAAATTTGTTCTCCTTTCTATATCTCATCTGTTGTATATCATTTAAATTTGACTTTCTTTCCAGATATGCCTGTAGCTAAAACATCTCTATCCAATTGGTCATTTATTTCTACTATTTCTACTTATAAGTTGTGCCCCAAATTTGATCCTCCACTCACTGCCAATATTTTAGTTCAGGACTTCATTATTTTCACTTGGATTACTGCAATAACCTGGGAAACAGACTCCCGTGTGTGTGCAAGTCCAGAGTCAAAGTTAACTGCATGCCTCTGTTTCACTTATTTCCTTTCTTGGTGATTGCTCTTTTTCTTTCCTCTGGGGATTGTTTTATTGTCTCCCCATTCTAACTATCACTAGAATGTCCCAACGCCAAGTTGCGGGGGGGGCGGGGGGGAGAGAGACCTGGTCTCTGGGTACTCAGTCTCTATTTCTCATCTGTTCTCTATCCTTGCTCATAAAAACATTTTCTAAAACATAAATTTAATCACCTCACTTCACTTGTTAAAAGTAAATTGGCTATTAGCAGATCTTAAAAAAGTGAAGACAATTAAATGCCATCCAAATAAAAAGCAACTCATTTCTTAACATGATTAAAAAATATATGGAAATGACTGGATAATACATGGCATGTTGTTTCTCAAAACTTTTTTTAAAATGTAAACCATTTAATTCTAAATCAAATCACTTTCCCAACAGTGAAAATTAGCAACTGTTCAAGGTATGCCACTGTACATGGTGACCTTTTCTGTCTGTGGCTGGGACCTGATCCTGACCCACAAAGGCAGCAGGAGTAGGAGTAGAGACTAAGAACATAGAAAACACACACAAATGAAAGGAAAACTGCCTTGGCAGGGGGCAAGGTGGTGAGCCTGCAGAGGGGTGGCGAGAAGGGGGCTCTATTTCAGGCTGGGCCAGCAGTGCCAAATCGGCTTTTCTGCCCCAGCTCCTGGCAGAGGATGAGTGGGGACCTAAAAGATTAAAATCAAAGGGCAGGTAGCCAACCTGGCTTTGCTACTTGGTTCCTAGGATACCACTGTTGGTAGAGCTCATCTGGGCTCACTTCCTTTGATTCCAAGTGATTATACCTTTTTATTTTATTTATTTATTTATTTATTTTTTTAATATATTTTTTTATTGATTTTTTAGGAGAGGAAAGGCGAGAGACAGAGAGCCAGAAACATCGATGAGAGAGAAACATCGATCAGCTGCCTCCTGCACATCTCCCACTGGGGATGTGCCCGCAACCCAGGTACATGCCCTTGACCGGAATTGAACCTGGGACCCTTCAGTCCGCAGGCCGACGCTCTATCCACTGAGCCAAACCGGTTTCGGCGATTATACCTTTTTAAATCCACACCTGAGGATATATTTTTATTGACTTTAGAGAGAAATGGAGAGAGAGAGAGAGGGAGGGAGGGAGGGAGAGAGAGAGAAAAACATCGACTGGTTGCCTCTCTTATGCATCCTGATCAGGGATCGAACTTGCAACCTGGGTATATGCTCTGACTGGGAAGCAAACCTAAAACCTTTGGAGCTACGGGATGATGCTCCAACCGAGCCACCCAGCCAGGGCTCTAAAATGTTTTAAAAATGGGTATTGAACCATGCAAAACAATGTTATATTAATAATATAATACTTGATTCAGCATAGTCAGAGCTATAATGCTTGGCACGGGGTTAATTTAGCTCATGCAAAAAATATGAATGAATAAACTGGACAAACTATTTCACTATTTCAACATAATTTGTTGTTTAATTAAAGGAAGGGTCAAGTGATAATTCTGTAATTATATTTGAAAAAAGAGTTTTTAGTAATTTTAATATATATATATATACATATATTTTAAAAGAAGATACTGAAACAGGAGGCTTACCTTGCAAATACCCTGTCCTTATTTGCTTTTTCTTTGCCATACTGAACTGACTGGACTTCAGTTCTCCCACTGAAATACATAAACATGCACAATAAAATACTGAAGAGAATTATAAAATAACACACCACGTGATTACATTACAATCTCTTAAGAGATAAGATATTTCTAGCAGGGAAAAGAAAGCAGAGGATAAGGAAAGACTGGAATACATTCCAGTTCTACCTGAATGGATGAAAATTAAGTTCTCTCATTAATCAATAGAGATATGTTCCATAGACACTTCCTTATTTGGGAGTAAATGTGAGAGAAATATTTTGTATGAGAGGAATTCCTTCTCTGCTATGCCCTATAAAAGCACTCCCTCTAGACCAGTGGTTCTCAACCTGTGGGTCGCGACCCCTTTGGCAGTTGAATGACCCTTTCACAGGGGTCGCCTAAGACCATCCTGCATATCAGATATTTACATTACGATTCATAACAGTAGCAACATTAGTTATGAAGTAGCAATGAAAATAATTTTATGGTTGGGCATAACATGAAGAACTGTATTTAAAGGGCCAGAAGGTTGAGAACCACTGCTCTAGACTGAGATAGGCTGTTGTGTCTCAGCTCATCTAAGCCCTGCCCTTACCCTAGAGCAGTGATGGGGAACCTATGACACACGTGTCAGAGGTGACATGTGAACTCATTTTTTTGGTTGATTTTTCTTTGTTAAATGGCATTTAAATATATAAAATAAATATCAAAAATATAAGTCTTTGTTTTACTATGGTTGCAAATATCAAAAAATTTCTATATGTGACACGGCACCAGAGTTAAGTTAAGGTTTTTCAAAATGCTGACACGCCGAGCTCAAAAGGTTCGCTATCACTGCCCTAGAGTGCTGTGGTTTAGCTGGTGTCTCTACTACCACTTAATGAAGGGCCTGAAACATGGACATCTTGAAGAATAGCTCTTTCCTTAGACAAACTTTTCCTCCTTATCTACAGATAATGGTTACAGATACAAAGACTGGTTACATTGTGGTCAACCAAAGAACTTGTATGCATATATGCATAACCCATGGACACAGACAATAGGGTGGTGAAGGCCTAGGGCAGGGGCAGGCTAAAACTGGGGAGGGGGGGACATATGTAATACATTCAACAATAAAGATTAAAAAAAAAAAAATGACTGGTTATATCCCCATATTCTTTCATGTCCAGACACAAAAAAAATTCCAGATTTTTGTATATAGAAAGGAACTAAGAACAGAAATATGATTTGGAGTTGAGCACTATAGAGGGTTTGTCTTGAAGCTGAATTGTCTAGCAAACACACTGTTTATGCACGGGAACTGACCCTCCATTGTGGTACTCCAATGATTCCAGACCAAATCATATATAATAAAAGCCTAATATGCTAAGTGTCCGGTCATCCACTTGGGCCATTAAACAATCAAAGCATAATATACTAATGATATCCTAAGACCAGTCAATTGCTCGCTATGATGTACACTGACCACCAGGGGGCAGACACTCCAACCAGTAGGTTAGTTTGCTGCTGGGATTTGGCTGATCAGGGCTAAGTAAAATGGGCCAGACATGCCCTGGAGCCCTCCCATGTCCCTCCCTGGCCCCAATCGTGCACCGGTGGGGTCCCTTGGCCTGGCCTGCACTCTCTCACAATCTGGGACCCCTTGGGGAGATGTCGGAGAGCCAGTTTTGGCCTGACAGCAGAATGACTGGTCACTATGACATGCACCGATCACCAAGGGGCAGATGCTCAATGCAGGAGCTGCCCCCTGGTGGTCAGTGCACTCCCACAGCGGGAGCGCTGCTCAGCCAGAAGCTGAGCTCACGGTTCGCGAGCGCAGCAGCGGTGGTGGAAGCATCTCCCACCTCCACAGCAGTGCTAAGGATGTCCAATTGCTGGCTTACGCCCGCTCCCTACGGGGAGCGGGCCTAAGTTGTCAGTTGGACATCCCCCGAGGGCTCCCAGACTATAAGAGGGCACAGGCAGGGCTGAGGGACCCTCACTGAGTACACGAATTTTGTGCACCGGGCCTCTAGTTTGTTAATAAAAACTTCGTTCTCAGAGAATTTGCTACTTGACATATCACATTTACCTGCGACTGTACATAAATGTCTAATATATCAAATATAAACATTTACATATGCAGATATCTAATACATATAAAAGCAGCCACATGGGTTTCCAAAGCTAAGCAACAATTGTAAGATCATCTTTCATGGATAAATATAGCTATATGTAAATAGAATGGCATGTCTGTTGAAACTTTAATGGAAACGTTAGAAATGTTACTATGATTTTTAAAGTTAGATAAGTTGAAGTTTAAGAAATTATATTTCCTTTAAGAAGGATAAATTATACTTGCAACTGCAAATAAGGTATCAAATTAATATTCACTATTTTGTGTGTCCACATTAGTACAATGATTTTAATCCCCTGGATATCTTGAAACAGAGATAATAAGGGTGTATGTATGAGGAGGTTGGCGGAAGAACAAATCGTGTGATATTCCAACTTCCATCTCTCAGTTGAAATAACATTTCAATATTTTAAGTATTGCGTTAATTCTAATATTCCCAACTACTGCTTATTATGAGGGGAAAAAATGTTTTACTTAATGCATACTCTCTGCAATATGACTGTCCAGGTAAACTTGGTCATGCTCCCATTGCTACCTCATTTACCAAATTATTTAATCACTAGAGGCCCAGTGCATGAAATTTGTGTGGGGGAGGGGGGGAGAGGAAGGCCCCTCAGCCCGGCCTGCACCCTCTCCAAAACGGGACCCCTCAGGGGATGTCCAACTGCCTCTCACAATCTGGGACTGCTGGCTCATAACCACTGGCCTGCTCGCCCCTAACCCCATCTGCCTGCTTGATTGCCTCTAACTGCTCCCCTATCGGCCTGATCACCCCTAACTGCTACCCTTCTGGCCTGATCGCCCCTAATCACCTCTGCCTCACCCCACACCTGGGACCCAGGATTCCCTCCTCCGGCCATTCACAGGCACCAGGACCTGGGTTGGCTTCAGCCACAGGGGACTGTGGGCGGGCGGCTTTCCCTGGGCCGCAGCCGCAGCCGCAGGTGCCTGGGACTGTGGGGTGGGCGGATTGTCCCTCTCCCAGGCCACAATCCCAGCCGCTAGCGCTAGGGACTGCAGGACGTGTGGCTTGTCCCTCTCCTGAGCCAAAACCTGGCTGGTTCCCATTCCTCTTTCGTGAGCTCATTTGTGCCTGGCTGGTCCCCATTCCTCTCTCCCCAGTGTTGAGTGTGTGAGTTGTTACCACGTGATGACCATTTGCATATTAGCTCTTTATTATATAGGATTCTGATTATTAAAAAGTGCTTTCATAATGTTTCCAAAGTTCTTTAAACTACAAATATAAAACAATTTTACAACTATAGAATACTGTATATGGCTTATACATAAATTTAACTTAATATTAACTGAGCTGTCAGAGGCCTCAATCCTGTCCTGTGTTCTGCTAAGTTTTGTAGGAGACTAGAGGCAACAAACTCTTATTTTCTACTTTCTTTTGCAAGTTGGCTTTCAGGTAGGTTCTGCTTTTATTCTGGTGGGAGATTAGAAAGCAGACCAAGTCAATGCAGAACACTGGCTGACTGCAGTAGCTGCCGAAACAATATGGGGATAGGACACAAGGATAAACAACATGTTGTCCATGGTACCATCCTGATCAAAGCAGGACCTCTCTGGCAGGTCCAGAATTGACCAAGATATTGTCTCTAACAGTGTAGGAGCTGATGCAGTTTGTGGACTCTGGCACAGAGGTAACACAAGCTTCTGATCCTAAGGCATTACCCATTCTTCCTATTTGCTTCTCCAAAAACCATCCTTCTTTCTGCTTTTCCAGCCTAACAGCCATGTAATCAATTCCCTCAATTAAATTGCTTTGATTTAAAAAAATCAAAAGAACTTTCTGTATACTTGACTCATAAATTAATTCTCCAGTGAAGTGGATCCAAATGGGACACTATTACTCAAAAGGCTAGATATTAACAAGTTGAATTTCATAAAAATAAAATTGAAATATGAGGGAAAAATTACAGGTTTAGAATTGATATTATCCATAATATTATTCTCTAGGGGTTCAAGATTATTACTACTTATTTTTCTTTTCTTTTCTTTCTTTTTTTTTTTGTTCACAAATGTTCACAGCAGCTTTATTCATGATACCCAGACTGGAAACAACCAAAAGGCCAAAAGTGACTAGATAATTAAATCGTAACATATCCAGATACTTATTTTTCAATTACAGTTTACATTCAATATTAATTTCAGGTGTACACCATAGTAGTTAGACAATCATATACTTTACAAAGTGGTCCCACCCACCTCCCTGAAATTTCAAATACCCACCTGGCACTGGATATAGTTATTACGTTATTTACTATATTCCCTATACTGTACATTACATCCCCATGACTATTTTGTGACTAACAATTTGTACTTAATTCGTTCACCTTTTTCACCCAGCTCTACAACCTTTCTCCCATTGGCAATCAGTTCTCTGTATCTATGAATCTGTTCCTATTTTGTGTGTTCGTTTATTTTACTCTTTAGATTCCATATATAAATGAAATCATATGGCATTTATCTTTCTCTGCCTGAATTATTTCACTTAGCGTAATACTCTCTAGGTGCATCCATGTTGACACAAAAAGATTTCATTCTTTCCTTAAGGCCAAGTAATACTGCATTGTATATATGTACCCCCATTCTTTAATCCACTCGTCTACTGATGGGCACTTGAGTTGCTTCCATAGTTTATGTACTGCAAATAACACTGCAATGAATATAGGGATGCACATATTCTTTCGAGTAAGTGTTTTAGGCTTCTTCAGATATATATCCAGAAGTAAAATTGCTGGCTCATAAGGCAGTTACATTTTTAATTTTTTTATGAACCTCCATATTATTTTCCACAGTGGCTGCACCAATCTGCATTCCCACCAATAGTGCATGAGGGTCCCCCTTTTCTCCACATCCTCGCTAACACTTGTTGTTGATGATAGATATTCTTTTTTTATATATATAT